GGGATCCTCCCGGACCGGGGCACGAACCCGCGTCCCCTGCATCGGCAGGCGGGCTCTCAACCACTGCGCCACCAGGGAAGCCCAGCTGGAATGTTTTAAAGAGCTACCATGCTGTTAATCAGGGGCATCTCTCCTCTCCAATCTTCAGGTCCTATTGCTGAGCCTGCTCGTTGTGCCAGGTTCCACCTTAAGTAGGGATAAACCCTCTTTCTGGAGCTCCTCCATCACACTGCGGTTTGCCTGCTGTCACCAGCATCTTATTCATCAGACCTGCCCATGGATGTTGGAACCGCTTCAGCCTAAATGGCGCCTAACTGCACCTGCCATATCTATAAATTGGGCCAGCCAGTATTCTTGCTATAAATATAGGGAATGAGATATATTTAGTGAGGCTAGTATTTAAATTTCATAACTATGGTAACATGAACATAGGAACTAATTCATTCAGAATCAGACTGAATGGAAAACTGAATTTTGGTGGGTGTACCTTATATTTTATTTTCAATACTTTTATATTTTGAGATAATTGTAGATTTGCATGCAATTATAAAAAAACAATTGAGAGAGCCCGCATACGCTTCATCTAGTTTCCCCAATGGAACTAACTATGGAAGCATATCACAGCTAGGAAATTGGCACTGATACAATCCATCAACGACATTCAGAGATCACCAGTTTTAGTTTTACATGCACTCATGTGTGTGTCTGTGCATGTATTTAGTGCTATGTAATTTTATCACACACATAGATTGATATGGCCACCAAACTACAGAACATTTCCATCACAAGGATCTCTTATGCCACCCTGCTGACACCACCCTGGTGGGAGAATAGGAGTATTGCCTGCTTCCAACAGGCAGGAAATGTTAGAGCAGCTCCCAGATCAGTCCTACTAACACCACCGGGCAAGAGAATTGGAGTACCACCGCCTGACTCTGCATGGGTGGGGTGGGGAGGGAGATCAGCTCCCAGTGAAATGAAGGGTGAGCAAGATGAAATTTCCCCTTAGGGTCTGGCTAGGGTAGGACGGGTATTGCCACAAAGGCTTTCCACGTGAGGCTTCTCTTTTGTTGGTTCCTTGACTGGAGGAACAGACTTTTCTTAGAGCTTACTTTATCTGTGTCTGTTGGCAGTTCCAGGATGGAGGCCACTAGAGTTCCTGTCTGGGATTTATGGAAGGCAGTAAAGAAACCTAAAAAACTCATCCCTCATCACCATCCCAAAGTCCCTAGCAGTCCACCTTCTTCTTTCCTCCTTGGAGTGTTCCTCTGTTTGCTTATTGTGTTATGTCCACAGTTATAAGAGGGAGGACCTGGGAGGCTCCATCTTGGCTAGAACCAGAAGTCTGATCTATACTTGATTTTTTTTTTTTTTTTTTTGCAGTACGCGGGCCTCTCACGGTTGTGGCCTCTCCCGTTGCGGAGCACAGTCTCTGGACGCACAGGCTCAGCGGCCATGGCTCACGGGCCCAGCCGCTCCGCGGCATGTGGGATCTTCCCGGACCGGGGCACGAACCCGTGTCCCCTGCATCGGCAGGCGGACTCTCAACCACTGTGCCACCAGGGAAGCCCAATACTTGATTTTTAAGAGGAATAAGTAGATAACAGGTATGTTGATACCAATAATTAATTCACAGAAGCAACTTTTCATGATGTTATCATTTTAGTTTCACTCAATACTCTACATGTGTCATAAATATTATGCCATAGTAAGTGACAAGAGTTCACTTTCAAAATGAGACTATTCTGTAAATAACTCCTGAAGCATCAAAGAAAATTACATTCTCTCTGTCGTTTTGTGTGGGTGTACTGAGATGAGTTTAATTCTCCAAACAATGGTTGTTTTCCACTTAACAAGAAACCTAACAGCGAACCAATTTGGCTAAAAGAGATTTTATTGCACATGGAAAACTTGGAGCAGAGTTAAATAATTGACCAAATATGAGGACAGTTTTAAAAATAGCACCACTGAAGATAAAGATCCTAAACAGCACTCAGAGATGCAATGTCTTTCTTCAAGTACGTGGAGCTTATTATGTAGAAATATCCACTGGCTAAGCAAGACAAAAGCATTGATTGAATAAACCACATCTGGATTTCAAGGGAACCCCATTTAGCCACAAAATTGGATTCTTCCTCTTGTTCGTATCTACATTTGCAAAATAAGCATCACTATTTTGATTCTGTTTAGTCAGAAATAATGTTTTTTCAAATCAGAGAGCTTATTCCTTTAAAATATTTTGGTAAGTGATGTGTAAAATGAAAGACTAAGAACACTTTAGAGTTTCCACATTAGGTGAAAGCAAGCCTGTATCTCCCAAAATTATTTGAAGTCCTTTGTTCAGAATCAGTCACTGAGAACTGAATATCTTCTTGATCGATGCTGAGAATTTAAATAGTGTTCAGAAAAAAAAAATAGTGTTCAGAGAGACTGGAAGGGTAAAAGATACTTTATTGGAAATGACACAAGCTCTGAAAACAGTACTATATTTTCCTAGCAAGACACTTCTTCTGGTAAAAGGTATATTGGGACACATCACAGTCTCAGGGTGGTGACATTATGAAATGTTAACTAGACCTTCTACTCCCACAAATATCTGAGGAAACAAAGAGCATTTGTTCAGTCTTAACCACTGCCCAAGACCAACTTTTTTTTGATTAAATTTTATTTTTTTTATTGAAGTATAGTTGATTTACAATGTTGTGTTAGTTTCAGGTGTACAGCAAAGTGATTCAGTTATATACACATTCTTTTTCAGATTCTTTTCCCTTATAGGTTATTACAGGTTATTACAAAATATTGAGTATAGTTCCCTGTGCTACACAGTAGGTCCTTGTTTTTCTATTTTACATATAGTAGTGTGTATATGTTAATTCCAAACTCCTAATTTATCTCTCCCTGCCACCCTTTCCCCTTTGGTAACCATATTTGTTTTCTATGTCTGTGGGTCTATTTCTGGTTTGTATATAGCACCAACTTTTTAAAAACTCTGTCTCCATGATTGCAACTGAAGTAGATGCTTGGGGAAGGTGTGCTTGGTCTCTCCACAGTGATCTCCCTATGAAGTAGAGGAAACAGAAGGAATAAAACTCTTACTCATGACGGATTCTCTCAGTTTCACGTAAACGTGTTCCACGTGAGAAAGTAGGCAAGCTTAACATTTAAGCTTTCACGTTTAGTCAGAATAAAGGTTAGTTTCCAGGTAGATCAAAGAAAACTCTGACTACACAAAGATATAAACTATGGAACAATATTTTAGGGTTTGCTCTTTAGGCCCGAAGCATGGGCCCTTCTAGAACACTGGAGCTGTTCTAATAAACAAGGGTTTCTGCCTCTTGGGATCGCTTTTGCCACTTCCATTACCATTTTGGGGCCCACACCCCTGAGTTGGACAAAATGAGCACAGTATACCTAAAGTTTTCCATTGCCCGGTGTGGAAGCAAAGCCTCAGCCCTTGTACCAGTATCTACAATGTGTTTCCGATTTATCATCTTCCGTTTTCTATTCGGATAGAAACTCATGGGAAGGGTGGAGGGGATATAGGTCTGCACCCCCATCACCATCTCCCTACCTGCTCTCCTCATCTCTCCCACCACTTTGGGCCGGCGGTTTAGTGATGTGATCCTTGAGTGGACACAGAAGGGACTGATTGTGCCAGTCTAAGGGCTCCCTTTCTGCACCCGCAGGAGTAGGGCTCTGGACAGAGGATACGGAGTGAAGACGGCTCTACCCACTGGTGGAGAGATGAGCCTAGCATGAGTCTTTTGTGACAGTTATAAATACTGAGCTACAATATTATACAGCAACTGGAACCCCTCCCTGGAAAATAGCATATTTAAATAGAGTTTGCAAAAGGGTTAACTGAACAGAGGACACCCTTCCTGTTCACCCATAAAGAATGTTCTCAGCTGAGGACTACCCAGTCCTTGCAGGTGTGTCTTGGGTGATATGATGCTTTATCTGGTTACATCCTTTGGGTCATGCTCGTGATTGTTCTGCTCACTTGTCAAAGCCACACCAGGGGTCAACGGCAGATTCTTTTCTCAGTTCTCAAAGGCTGGCTCGTCTCTCTGAAATGCCACACACACGGAGACCTACTTATTTGTGTGAGTGCCAGTATTCTCAATCGAGTAACTGCTCGAGACACCTTTTCAGCTGTTTTTATTTTGGAGGAACAATCTCGGTTTCCTGCCTCTGGTTAACATGGGTGATTGGCTTTAGGGAAAGCCTTTATTTTTATTATTTTTTCATTTACGAAATTAAGTTAGAATCTGTAAATGTAAGAGGAATTGGTTATTTGTAGACCTAACCAAGAGGAGTTTGGAAATACTCATCATAAAATAGCTGTAAATATTCCCTAAAGCAACTGCTTTCAGACTCTCCACAGAAAGACAAAGCCTACAGTAATATATGTGGTTTCATTTTATGTTCATGATAGATTCCTCTTTTTAGACTGTAATTTGGAAACAGTTCAACAGCTGAGTTGGCAACTAAAACCCACCCTCTAAAACATATAAGTGAAATGTGGATGCTATAATCCTAAGGGAAGAGCCTGCTCCCAGTTTGGCATTCTTTGGTTCCAGCTGTTGACTAGAGATAAGTTAGATTATAACAGTAAAACCAGAAAATGCTGTTCATGCAAATTCCTTGCATTGCATGTCTCTCTTTAAAGAGCAAGTGGACATTCTTGCAAATGACCAGAATAGGAGGCTATTTGTCTTTTCTCAGCCCAGCGACTGTAAGTAGATATGGAAGGCAAGGCCTCATGAATTTTATGTCACATTTAATTTTATTTTAAGGAGGTTAAAATAGAGGGCTTTAAAGCCTCAACCAGGCATGTCGTTTTCTTTGTCCTTCTCTGTTCAGTGTTTCCTAGTTCACCACAACAAGCACTTACAATTTTCATAGTGAGGGAAAGGTTATTTTAGATCCCCAGTTATACATACCATGACGTTAAGACGAAAATTAAAATGATACAATCCCTTATACAGTACCTTGTATAGACAAAGCGTGTTTTCATGAAGCAATATATGCTTGCATGGGGATGGAAGAAACCGGCAGACATACGCAAGGCATCTTGGACTCTTGGATACTTGTACAGTGATCACTCCAATTTCAATTATTCTCTCCATGGTCCCCATGAGTTCATTTTTATCTGTCTATCTATCCATCCATCCTTTGTTTTCTCTCACAAAAGATGTATGACAGCTTACAAAGATAGATGGACAAATAAAATTTAATAGTGGAAGGAAAATGAAAAATAGATGTGGGTGTGCAAGGTAGACGATAATGATTTGTAATCATGTTAACAATTGGGCCACAAGTGTAGTCTTCTAAGATTTTTCTTGGCCACTGCCAAAGGAAAAATCTGGTTGGTCACTAGATTCAGGATCTACGGGATCAAAACAAACCATTTACTTGGTAGAAGCCCTTTGTTCTTGGAACTAGAGCCAGACAGGAAATTCTTCTAAGAGGCTCGTAAGAAAGACAGTATCCTGTGATGAACACCCGTGACAACATCTTTGCAATAGAGGTGGTGACCTATTTCTTACACAACGCACCCCCCCCCCATGTAGGCTGGTGACATCATATTCAAGAGCAGGTCTGTAAAAATGGATTCTGCAGCTGGCAGTCAGTCCAGCTTCATCTAGAATCTGACCATGTACACATATGAAGTCTCAGGATAGTGTATGGACCCAGTCTGTACTTAATAAAGGTAAGCAATTAGTATTATTGCTACACACTGTTGCGTGTCAGATGTGTGCCTACTTCTGATGGCGAAGAGATGGGCTCCACGCATGCAGCGGAGTGAACTTGGTGGGCAAGAGCATCTCTGAGCTCACAGCTCTCACCTCCCACGCACTTGTGTGATCTCAAAATGCAGCCGCGTTCAAGTTGGGTGATGCCACATGTGGGCTCTCTAGGGAAGACAGGCTTGCTCCAGGTAACGCTTGAAAAGCCGAAACTCCATAGTTACAGCCAGTATGGGGAGGAAGCCAAATCTGAGCTAAGTGGAGAACCTTCCCAGCAGAAACCTGCCAGCTTCAGCTCTTCATTCTAGGAAGATTCAGACTCCTTTTAAGGAGTTAAAAAGATGAGAAGTCCTTTGGGATTTCCCAGGATAGAAAAGAGTGAAGATTTGGCTTTTCGCTCATTAGTCCCAGGTGACTCCGAGATCCAGCAGGATCTCCCTTCTACATTCTGCTCCTCTTCCCTCATCCTCCCCGTCTTGCCCTCTTTTTCTAAATCTCATTAAATGGTTCATCCCAGTTGGTCCTATCATGTCAGAAGGCAGGGACTGCCAGAACCTGCCTAGAACAGAATTCATCTGGAGTTGAAATACCCTCCCCCTGGGTTAATCTCCTCGGTTGCACGTAAAGCACGGGGCAGCATGTGGTGGAGATTAGGCATGCCTTGGTGTTGAATTCTGAGCTCCAGGATGTGTGTGGGCCCGCATCCCTCACAGCCACGTCACTTTCTTCTTTTAATGAAAGCTGAAACCCAGCTCCTGCCAGAGGACAGTGGGAGTGAACAAATGTATAGGAAAAGAAAATAGACATGGTTAGGAAGGCTGGCTGCCCGACCCCTGGTCTGGGCTGGAAACAGCCCACCCCCTCCTTCCTAGCCCATGGAATGCAGGAGGGGCTGCAAGAGAAGCCAGGAGGGCTCCTGGGGAGGAATTAAGGTTCGGTATGTTTCTGGCTTCTCTGTAAATACTGGACACCTCCGAATGGAAGAACAGCTGAGAAAAGTGACTGCTAATCCCCCAGTGCCAGGAGGAGGCCTGCCTCTCCCTTCTAGATCCCAGCAGATGGTGGATGAAACAGGCTTCCCTCGAGGCAAGGGCAGCAGGAACTGTCCCACCTTCTGTTCCTTCAGCCAGCCCCGCACGTCTCCCTCATGGCCTGTCCCTGCCCAGAAGGGCCTCGCCGGCCCTCGAGAGCCTTGGGGACACGCCCCGGCTTTGGCTTTCGCCGTCCAGGCTGGGATGCTCAAGGTCAGCCAAGCTGGACTCGGGCCAGCACTGGCAGCTTGGGAAGCCTTCAGCGAAATTCCGCGGGCCTGGGGAAGAACAGCCAGGCAGTGTCGCCACGTCTCTCCCTCTGTGAATTACCTGGGGAAGAGGGGTGGTGACTTATTTAAAATGCACATGCACTCTTCCAGGATGAAACCTGGGAATCTGAATTGCTGTTAGAGGTAACTTGGCTGCAAGTGGTTCTAGCATTCTACTTGGGGAAACAGCAGCCCAAGTGGACTGGAAGGCATTTGGGGTGGTGGATAGGAACAGGGTGTCGTCTGGTGCCTGGATTTGAAGCCTTACTCTTCCGTTTGCTCAGCCGTGTGACCTTGAGCAAAGCAGGCGCAACGGTTCCCTACCTCATAGGATACAAACCAGTCTTTCTCAAACTGCAGGGCACAGCCATTCTTGGGTTTTTAAATCAATTTAGTCACAATTCATATCAAAAAATGTAACTGGGAGGTTGGCTACACAGCAATGTGAATGTGCTTAACGCTACTGAACTGTACAATTTTAGTTGGTTAAGGTGGGACATTTTATGTTATGTATATTTTACCGAAATTTTAAAAAAAGAGAAATGTCTAGACTGCACTTTATGTACTTAAGTAGACACGACAGAAGCCAATCTCAATTTTCAAATTAAATGGATCCCTGAAAAAATTGTGTCAAATGAAAATCAGTCATTGAATCTTATTTTCCATTGACTTATAATTTAAGTCAATATATAAAAACAGCGTTTGGAGTTTTAAAACGTGGAAATTGAGCAGTATTGCAATGAACAAATATCGAACCATCATAGATATTTAAGGGGAAAAAAGTGTTCTTACCATAAATATAGTGCATAAGAAACTATGTTTTGTTCTAAGTGGGAAAAAGTGAAATTGTTTTTAAACATTTTAAGGGTGAAGATTATTTCATGAAACTGGTCTCAGTGTTCCACTGACCTACCCACCCCTGCTCCCGGGCAGACTGATTCCTAGGTGGGTGGACTGGAATTGGCATCCTGAGCCCTGCAAGTATTTACAAAGGATTCAGGGAATAACCGTGGTGTTCAGTGATCTGCTAGACTTTCCAGGAGTTCCCTTTACACATATGGCAGTGAATGTGGGAATGTGCCACCAGTCACTCCCAAGGAGAAACTCTTTCTTTCACACAAGTGTTAATGCACTTCAGTCCTACTCTGCTTTAAAAATAATGAAATACTTCCTCAGGAAGGCTTTCTCTGGACCCTCTTTTGAATCCCTCTTTTTGTGACTATCTCAATGATTCCCTCGTTCTTCCTAGTGTGTACCATACCTGTCCCTGACTTGTCTGTAGCTGCTCTGCAGTACGAGTCCTGCTCTGTTTTATTTCTGTCTTCCAGCGACTAGCACAGTTCTTGTGCCATAAATATTTGCTGAGTCAATAAGTGAATGACATTGACCCAAATCTTCAAAAGTGAGAACTATAGCTGCCCCCAAAAGTATCATTATTATTGAATTGTAATAGTTACAATTTGCTTTGTATCTTCTATGTGGCTTATATCACTTGTCTCTAATTATTACAATAACTAATCATCTCTGCCTGAAAAGAGTTACTGTGTCCTTTTTCAGAGGGGAAAATTGAGGCTTATGAAAGTGAAGTGACTTGCCCAAGAGCAAAATAGGTAGTAAGTGACAGAGGCGGGATTCAAACCTAGGGATGTTGGGCTGTAACACCCGTCCCATTTCTCCTTCTTTTTGGTTCTTCTGCATCTGCCTGAGCCAAAACAGCTCCGCTCTTTGCATCCTGTCAACAGGCATTTTCGCTGAAAAAGGCCTACCGTGTGGCAGAGGGTGATTCCAGCTGGCGTGACCCTCACCTGGCTCCATCACCCAGCCGCCCTCATACTTTCTTCTCCAGACCAACCCAAACATGGTTGGGGAGCTCAGCGGGGAGGGCCCAGCATTCCCCAGTCTGGACAAGTATCTAATCAGCGGGCCTCCTTAGCATATCAATCCAAGACCACTCCAGAGATGGATGCCTGAGCCCAGTTTCTATTTTTAACTGGTGTGAAGGGGAGGAAAAACACAAGCATTAAAAATCAAAATGCCAGTGAAGAACTGAGAATACAGGGCAACCCAGGGCAAACCAGTGATCTGTGTCCTTATGTCTCTCTGTTTCTTTCTCTTCTCCTTGATTCAAGTAATCCCTTTCTCCAAAGTCTCAAGATCCTCCACAAAGAAGCTGATGTCATTTATACCAGTGCTTCTCACACTTCAACATACATATGACTCAACTGAGCACCTTGCTAAAATGCAGATTCTGATTCAATAGTTCTGGGGTGGGGCCTGGGACTGCTTTTCTAATTCACTCCTGGTTATGACCATACTGTGCATCCCGGTGATATGTTCAGTCGGTTGAAGTTGCTGTTATCTTCTTGACAAGAACATTTCTCTTTCAGTCTTGTCTTTGTCTGGAATAAACGCTTTTGCGTTATTAAGATGAATGTTCATCTCTCCACCAGCAGGTGGACAAGCAACCCTTGGCATTTGTTCCTTCATTCCCTTTGGCAGCAGGGGAGTCTTTCCTGGCCTAAAGGCAGGAGTCTGAGTTTGAGAAAAACCCTGGAATCATGGAGGAGAGCCCCCTGATGTCCCAGCTGGGGTAAACCTGCCCTCTCCTCCAACAAGACTGGACAGGCTCTCACAGCAGCTGTTTCCAGCCTCTTTCCCTGACCAGCCCCTGAGCCATGCGTAAATTGGGGACCAAGGTGGCCTTGGTTAATCTCAGCTTTCTGCACAGCCCCAGCTCTCCGAGTTGTCATGCAGGTTGGTGGGGACTAAGCCAGGAGGGTGCCCTGTCCCAGGCACCCCTTTTCTGGCCACCCAAATGTGCTGCTGTGGTGCCCTTTGGGCCCATGAGGACTGCCAGGGCTCTGCTCCCCCAGCTCTCCGTCCGGGAAGATGAGAAGCTGCCGTCACTCCCCTGCTGCCCTGGGCCAGCTGTCAGGACCCCTCAGCAGAGGGCGGGGTGCCAAGCCTTCCCCCTTGCCTGTGGCTTGCTCTCTCTTAGGCTGGCGGGGCTGCGGCGAAGCCAGCCACAGCACACCCAGGGGGCACCTCCACCCAAGAAGGGGGAGGGGGCGGGCTGGCGTCACCCGGTCTTCCCCTGCCCCCTACCCTTCACCGCCTGCCCCTCCCTAGCTCCCTATTTGGCCATCCCCCTGGTTGCCCCCTCCCCTTCCTTACATGGTCTGGGGGGCCCCCGGGCTGATCCTCTCCCCTGCCCTTGGCTCCATGAATGGCCTCGGCGCTCCTCAGTGGTGCGAAGGCGACCAAATAAGGCAAGGTGGCCGACCGGGCCCCCCACCCCTGCCCCCGGCGGCTCCAACTGACCCCGTCCATCAGCGCGCTATAAAGCCGCTCGCCCCGCGCGGGGCACCAGCGCCTGCCACACCGCCCGAGCAGCCGAGCCGAGCCCGCCCCGCGGACGGTGAGTCAGCGCCGCCCGCCCCGCGCCTGGAGCCGGTGCCCCGCGCCCCCACCGCTCCAACACTTTTTTTCTCCTTAAGACCAAACTTTTCATTTGGTTCGAACTTCTTTTGTCCTGGGTCTCGGTCTTCACTGGAGAGGGGCGCGTGGAGGGGTAGCCTTGGGCCCCAGTGGGGCTTTTGGGGTCCCCGCTGCCGTGTGCTTTTCCCTCTAGCTGGGGCTCGAGCATGGATCGGGGTGTGGATGGGCCCGAAGTGGCTTCCCGGTTCGTGAGAAGGCGAAAATGTAAAGGGCCGGGGAGGACCTGCTAAGGGGCGACCGTCCCTCTTGCACTGGGGCAGGGGAGGAGCCTCCTGGCCTGGGAGCCTGGGCGGTTCCTCTCCCCTGCAATGCAGCTTCTTCCCACCCTCCTTTGTCTGCCCCGAGGGGAAGGGAGACGACAGCGTCCCCCGCCCCCCTCCCCTGCCCGGGGACCCCCATCTGCCCTGTCCCTTCCTCCGGGGACGCGGACGAGGCCAGCTCCGCAGGCACTGAACGTAGGCCGCCTTGCTCTCGTCCATCCGTAGACCCCACTGAAGCTTCGCCAAGATGTGCGACGACGAGGAGACCACCGCCCTGGTGTGCGACAACGGCTCCGGGCTGGTGAAGGCCGGCTTCGCGGGCGACGACGCGCCCCGCGCGGTCTTCCCTTCCATCGTGGGCCGCCCGCGCCACCAGGTAAACTTCCCGGCCCGCACAGCCTGCCCTCACCTGGAGCCGTCTCCAGCCCCGCTCCACACCCCTTCCCGCCACCTCTTCAGCCCAGCAATCCAGGAAATGTCTCACCTGCCCCTCCTGTTCCATGAACTCATTAGGTCAGATAGGAAACGCTGGATTCGCTTCCAACCTCAGCCCAGACAAGCAATACTCACACCCTCCAGCAAACCAGGAAACGTGCAGCACCGCCCCCCCCCTCCCCCAGTCCACTTCAGGGACACAGCTCTGCCAGGGGTCCAACTTCCTCCTGTGAAAAGGCGGCAGCTTCTCTTTTCCACTCCTGACCTGCATTTTTAGTCCTCAGTATCTTCTCTAGCTCTTATACATCTCACTTTACTCCTTGGCCTCCCTTTTCAGTCCTGTTCAAAACTCAGAATAATACAACGTATCCGAACCAACCAGGAGCCAAGCCACATTGCTCCCTCTTGTTCACAGCCAGTTTATAGGGTTCCCAAAATGTAATCCATCTGCTTCCTGGCTGTTGCATTTTTAGAAGCCGGTTATGACAGAGGCAGTAAAGTGCCGTGGTGACAGTGACATACCACCTTGTTTATTAAAAGAAATGCCACGCTCTCTGGCTTTGCCTCGGTGCCTGGCCAGACACGCTGCCAGGGGGGAGAGTGGTATTCCTCAGTGTTGGCGGACCATGCATACTCCAGGACAGCTCTAGGAGGGCTGGATTTCCCAGACAGGATGGTAATAGCATATCAGTCCATCATTTTATGTTTACTTGATGAATGTCAAACTCTTTCCTTGGGAGAAATACAGTGTGTCATTACTTCAGTCATTCCACAGTGTAGTCATTTATATTCCAGTTGACATAGGTGATGAGCTTAATAATTTAATGAAGGCATTATGGTATTTTAAAAATGAGGTGAGGCTCTGCTTCTTCCGTGAAATAGCTTCATTTCTCCCCATCCCTAGTTATATTCTAAACAATAGAATTATACCTCTTGGGGGTGGGGTGGGGAGAAGGTACAAGATTAACTTTAAATGATATTTCTGAATTGGGGTAAATTCCTATTGTTTCTTATTTCTCGTATTCATAAGATGTCACTTGACTTGGACAGTTACGTAGAAATGAATAAGGCATTGATTATATTCCTGACACGGTGGAAGCTTGATCTTCTCATTACTTTCTTCTTGTAGGGAGTCATGGTGGGTATGGGTCAGAAGGATTCCTACGTAGGTGATGAGGCCCAGAGCAAGCGAGGTATCCTGACTCTCAAGTACCCCATTGAGCATGGCATCATCACCAACTGGGATGACATGGAGAAGATCTGGCACCATACCTTCTACAATGAGCTCCGCGTGGCCCCTGAGGAGCACCCCACTCTGCTCACTGAGGCCCCACTGAACCCCAAGGCCAACCGTGAGAAGATGACCCAGATCATGTTTGAGACCTTCAATGTCCCCGCCATGTATGTGGCCATCCAGGCGGTGCTGTCCCTGTATGCTTCTGGCCGTACCACAGGTGTGTTGGGATTGTGAGATAGTCCCTGATTAATTACATTCCCAAGTCTTCGACCTTGCTGGGAATCGGTCTCCCCAGTGAGAAAGGAATGATCCCTTTCCTCACGCTCCCTGGGAAGGTGTCTCTGCTAAGGGAGAGGGGTAACAATAATACCCTGAGGTTGGTTTCAGAGCACACTTATTTCTAAGAACTGAAAGAATACGGAGTTAGATCCTCCCCTTGCCTAAAGTATGTGATGTCACACATTGAGCCTTTGCACAAACTATCAGCCTGGAATGCAGCAGTCATTGGTGTGTGTTCACACCATCAGAGCCCCTGGGCACACATCCCTACAGGGTCTGAGTCAAAAAAGAGAAGAACACGTGTAAGTTAGAGGAGAGGAAAGAAAAACACGCCTGGTTGCTTGCATAAGGTGCTAATAGCTGGTAAGAGGGATGGTCATTTGAAAGTGTCCTGGGGAAATGTTTCTACTACAATATTTAAGAAGATGAACTGTTGCTGGCTTCAGATTTGGCATCCATTATGCTCATTTTTATTCTTCATGTGTAAGGGATCTAATTTTATCTGGATCCTTGCCCAGCGCTAGTATCTCTTAGCCAGGATTGGAAGTAGGCTTTGACATGGCTAAAGCAGTGGTGTCCTCAGAGATTTACCTTGTTCTTGTTGATTTTCTCTGACAGGCATTGTTCTGGACTCTGGGGATGGCGTAACCCACAACGTCCCCATCTATGAGGGCTATGCTTTGCCCCATGCCATCATGCGTCTGGATCTAGCTGGTCGGGATCTCACTGACTACCTCATGAAGATCCTCACTGAGCGTGGCTACTCCTTTGTCACCACCGGTGAGTGTGTGTGTATCTCATCTGCCACAGTACGTGTCTTGTTTTTTACCCTCCCCCAGCGAACCCCCCTACCTCCTCGAGGTTGATTTCATCTTTCAGAGCTTAACTGTGACACGCTTTATTTCTGCAGCTGAACGTGAAATTGTTCGCGATATTAAAGAGAAGTTGTGCTATGTCGCTCTGGATTTTGAGAATGAGATGGCTACGGCTGCTTCTTCCTCCTCCCTGGAGAAGAGCTATGAACTGCCTGATGGCCAAGTCATCACTATTGGCAATGAACGCTTCCGCTGCCCTGAGACGCTCTTCCAGCCCTCCTTCATTGGTGAGTTGTAGGGTCTGGTGCAGAAACACCGCTTGGTGACTCCCAGGGTGAAAGCTATTATAATCAACAATGATTAAGGGGCCCTTGTGTTGAAAGAAGTCATAGCTTGGAGTCCCACACAGCTCAGCCTCAGGTCCCGATGGCTTACAGGGATGGCCATCACCGCTCCGTAGCAATGATATGATAAAGGATGACACACTGGCTTCATCTCAAAATAAGGAATGAGACAGAGTAGTAACTGAATAATCCATATCTATCTGCAAGGAAGAGATGATGACTCAAGAGTGCTGCCTTATTCTGATATGTTCCGTCACCAAGTAGCTGGACGTTGCTTTCATCACTCATTATTAAGTGTAACAACAATCCAACTCACAGTAATAACTGGACCTTTGTATGTCACCAAACATCTTTCCTAAGGAGTGATTTCCAAGAGGAAGCTTGTCAGGACCTTATTTTAGTCCATAAATAAGAATTGCATTAATTTACCGTAAATGTGTGTCTCCTCCTTTTCTAATCCATCTCCATACTCTGATGGGTACAGCAAGTGTTCCCTCCAAACAGGTGCTAAACACAGTTGTTTGTTTCTTGGCAGTCCGTTGTGGATTTACTGTCTGCACTTTTAAGACACCTGTTCCACAAAACCCTGCAATGTGTCCTATAGAGGAACATATGTTTTGGAGACAAATGGTGACAGTTTACCAGCATAGAGGGGTACTATTCTCTTCCCTCTACCCTGGCCCCCTGGCCTGAGGGCACTGTGATTTTTCTTTTTTACACTTGTTCCTAGGTATGGAATCTGCTGGCATCCATGAAACAACTTACAACAGCATCATGAAATGTGACATCGATATTCGCAAGGATCTGTATGCCAACAATGTCTTATCTGGAGGTACCACCATGTACCCTGGTATTGCTGATCGCATGCAAAAGGAAATCACTGCCCTGGCTCCCAGCACCATGAAGATCAAGGTGAGTGGGGGAAGCAAAACAGGTCTCTCCGTATTCCAAGCAGAATTCCTAACTCCTTTCCCCTCACCGCTTAGCTTCCCGTTTCCCATAAACTTTTAGTTTTTCTAACACTTTCTCTGATTTTTCTAGCACTTTTCCCAAGATAGGAGACTTGGAAACACTTTCAAGCAGTGGATAAAAATAAATCTTTGAAGGAAAAAAAATATCTAAATCTTTGAACACATTTTAAAAGACCCCAGCTTTCGGGCTAGCCTCCACCATGCATGTAGCTTATTGCCACATTATATTCTGTTTCAGAGAAGTGGGGAAGTTCTATTTTATAGTGACTTTGATAGTGGAAATGATGAAATAGAGGAAATGCATTAAACTTGACTCAGCCATATTCATTGGTGGGAATGAAGTATCACATTACAGTGAATTGATCACCAATATACTTTCTGTGAATCTCCCCAACACGAGCTCTGTTGCTTGGAACTTCAGAGTTCACTGGTGGTTTTTGTTTTCATTCTGCAGATTATTGCTCCCCCTGAGCGTAAGTACTCTGTCTGGATTGGGGGCTCCATCCTGGCCTCCCTGTCCACCTTCCAGCAGATGTGGATTAGCAAGCAAGAGTATGATGAGGCAGGACCATCCATTGTCCACCGCAAATGCTTCTAAGGTGCCTTCTCTCTTAGTCTACCTTATGTTCAGGATGACGGTATGATGCTTCTTGGAGTCTTCTGAACCACCCTCCCTCATCTCTCATCAATCATTGTACAGTTTGTTTACACACGTGCAATTTATTTGTGCTTCTAATATTTATTGCTTTATAAATAAACCAGACCAGGACTTGCAACCTACAAAAGCAAACCTCTCTTATTTCTTTTTGGGGTTTGGGGTTTGGGGTAGGAGTAGGATGGGGCCAGTGTTTGTGTACTCAGTCTGTGAACTCGTATAATGGCGGCCTTGACACCGGGAGCATTGTAATATCACAGCACCACAAAGTTTATCAGATGAATTAGCGTGACTTTTAGCTGGCAGTTACAATATTAAATTTTGATTTTACCCTTTGGGACAGAATCATGAGGATATTTCATATCTGAAAAGCAGATTAGGTTTAGCTCCACATAAGCGAGAAACAGAATTGGAGAACACAATTCTCTAAGATTCGTTTCTATGATGACACTGAAAATTGTTGTCTTAGCACATGTTCCAGTTGTTTTTGTGACTTTGCAGAAACCACATAGATATTGATAATGAGAAAGTCAAAGATTATTTTAAACAGATTAGTTTCAATTCTTATTCTCTTCAGTTATCTTCCTGAGGGCCATGCATGTTAACAGTGAAACACGGAGGCCAGCTGACAGATAAGCCCAGCCATGTCCCATTCCAGATATTCCCTAAATAAATCAAGACCACTGGGCATGTTCAAAACAAATGTGAGGAAACAGGCACCAGATACCTTTGCCTAATCAGTGACTAACTTCTGGGACAGACGTCTTCAGTCTCTTCAGTTCTTTGAAATCCTGGGATCGTGGGTCGAATGGAATGAAGTCTATAAAATCCTGAGGAGTTAAGGGGAGCAGAAAGCCATGATATTCCCTTTACTCCATGCTGGGCTGTTTGCAAAGCATGCTGGGGTAGTGATGCATCCAAAAGCATCTATTGTGCTCTGTCCTTGAGGGGTTCACATACACACTACCCATAAACCCCCAGTGTATGTGGTCTGGGAGGCTACAAGGAGATGGACATATGAGACTGGGTCTTGAGGAATGTTTAAGAATTGGAGAGGTAAGAAGAGCAGGGAGGAAATCTCAGCAGAAGGCAACAGGGCAGAAGCCATCATACAAAGCACAGGGCAGGCTGGTGGGAGCTGATGAATGTTAGGAAGTCAGTTTGAAAAGGGAGATTTCAACCTGATTGCAGAAGCTTTAAAATTTTTCACTTTCAAATTAATTGTCCATGAACCATTTGACCATTTGAATGGACCTAATTAAACTTTTATCTGTTGATGAGGGAATCAAGACACAGAGAGATTAAGCAATGGGTGCAATGTTATACAGCTTATTTGTGGAATACCCAAGGCAGTCAGGAACCCAGATTTTTTGACAGCTAATCTAATGGTGCTTCTAAAACAATCTTTCCTAACTTAGTCATAGTTATCAAGAGTAACCACATTCTATCACACACCGTTTTGAGAGTCTGGGTTCAAAACCTGGAGTACTTTAAGCTCATCAGACAGCTTTAATAAGTTGCCAATGTCATTATCATTCAAGGTAGTAATTGTGTCCTATGTTCGTTCATTCATAAAACATCTCTTGATCCCTGATTCTGGGCCAGGCACAGTAGTAGGTGTCCGGGACACAAACATGGAGCAGAGCATATTTTCTGTGCTTACAGAGTTTAGAGTTCCATATTTAGCACAGCTGAATGGAAGTCTTTCTCTGCATTAGGGTTAAAAAATAAATTTAGTGACATTTATGTTAGATACGATAAACTTTATTGGAGATTTTCATTTTTTCCTGCAACTATTTCTTGTAGCACAGATAGATTGATTTAAAAGCTAGGTAGGGCTTCCCTGGTGGCGCAGTGGTTGGGAGTCCACCTGCCGATGCAGGGGACGCGGGTTCATGCCCCGGTCCGGGAGGATCCCATGTGCCGCGGAGCGGCTGGGCCCTTGAGCCATGGCCGCTGGGCCTGCGCGTCCGGAGCCTGTGCTCCGCAACGGGAGAGGCCACAACAGTGAGAGGCCCACATACTGCAAAAAATTAAATAAATACCTAAAATAAAAGCTAGGTATCAGGACTTCCCTGGTGGTGCAGTGGTTAAGAATCCACCTGCCAATGCAGGGGACACAGGTTCGAGCCCTGGTCCGGGAAGATCCCACATGATGCGGAGCAACTAAGCCCGTGCACCACAACTACTGAGCCAGCACTCTACAGCCCATGAGCCACAACTACTGAGCCTGCGTGCCACAACTACTGAAGCCTGCACTCCTAGAGCCCATGCTCTGCAACAAGAGAAGCCACCACAATGAGAAGCCCGCGCACTACAATGAAGAGTAGCCCCAGCTCACTGCAACTAGAGGAAGCCCACGTGCACCAATGAAGACCCAACGCAGCCAAAAAATATATATAAATAAATTAATTTAAAAAATAGTAAGAATAATTTTAAAAAGCTAAGTATCAGCCAGAGACAGATTTGGAGCATATATGGGGAAATATGATTTAGCCAGTCTCTGTGTCTCTTTTTTCCTCACTTCTCAAATTGAGTATGTTAAGTATTATGAATTTTATCCTCTAAATACATTATTAATACTAGAGGTTTAGAGAGCTGGCTGGGCTATCACCTGTGGTTCTTTCTATGTGTCAATTTAAATGGAATGGGTATTGCTGTCTCTACTTAAAAGGAGAAGCTTTCGGAATCAGCTTCTGATATTTGTATCAGAAGTGGTAAGCACACAGGTTCTCATTGAATTCTGAGGTTTTCTCATCTCTGCTTGATGACAGGGTGTAAGATATTAGAACAACTGACTCGTAATAATTGTGCTTAAGAAAGGTATTAGGGCAATAGGGTTTTCTTAAGGCCACCTTCACGTTGTATAAAGTAATTGAGATGTCTACAGTCAATAGATCTTTAGTTAAGATGCAATGTAACGAACCTATATAGATCATGATATTTTTCTCAATTTATAATGAAAAGAGTACTTTTATTAATTTCTAACACCCCCAAACACTATTTCTTTATTTTCCTTAACAATGCTCACTTCTTAGCAATGGTTATCATGTAGATGTGTTTAAATAATTAAGAGAGTAGAGTTAGAGAGAAAAGGAAAATAACTGAAGAAAATGGACTATTTAGAGGGATAGGATTGGTTTACTATACCCAGGGCCTAAAACAATGTCACTGGGCTTTCTCTCCATTTCTTCTACGAGATCTGTTATGGACTGAATTAGGTCCTCCCAAAATTTGTAAGTTGAAACCCTAACCCCCTAATGTGACTGTATTTGGAGATAGGGCCTTTAAGGAGTCATTAAGGTTAAATGAGGTCATAAAGGTGGGGCCCCAATCCAACAGGACAGGTGTTCTTAGAAGAAGAAGAGATACCTGGACTGTGTCCATACAGAGGAAAGGGCAGGTGAGGACACAGCAAGAAGGTGACTGTCTGCAAGCCAGGTAGAGAGGCCTCACCAGAACCAACCCTGCTAGCACCTCGATCTTGGATTTCTAGCCTCCAGAACAGTGAGGAAACACATTTCTATTGTTTAAGCCACCCAGTCTGTGCTATTAAGTTACGGCAGCCCAAGCAGACTAATACAAGATTTTTCCATGTATTGGATATGATGGTCCAAGATTCATGGTCTGAATTTATCAGCCTCTGGAACAAAAGTGTATCTTTCCATATAGTTCTGACAAAAATTCCAGGGAGCCTCAGTCTGGCCAGGCTTGAGGACTGAGTCATACCATTCCCACCATAGAAACCGATCAATATTATTGAGTGGGGGACGGGTAATTCTCCAAAGGAAGGGAACAAAACAGCATAAACACTATTCCCAATGATCTAAGGCAGGAGAAAAATCACAGCAGTTTGTAGTGGAGGGACTGATTGTTGGACAGCTCGAACTTCCAGTTCAGGAATTTTATTTGATTAAACAGGCCTTGAGAAAGACTTGAGAAGAGCAATGACTTCACCCAAACAAACCTGGGGGCGAGACTAAGAAGCTTTGGATGGTGACATGTGTGACTGATCAGACGCTCTCCAGACTCCACTGTGGCCCGGGGATCCAGAAACCCAACGATCTCTATATGACCAGATTAGCCAGGTGTTGAAATAAGAAGTCAGATTCACTTTATTAATTAAATGATACAAATACTATAAATATTTCCTAGGAACTAATAGGTAGTGAAGAAATTGCGAGTCTTTTAGGCCTAAAATAGCAAAAGTTATAGCAAAAGTCTATATTCAACCTGAGGTCTTCCAGGCTCATAATAAAAGGAATCTCTCCTTCAGGCAGAACTTGGCTGTTGCTATGGCAACCAAGCTCACACTAGGAAGATAGGGGGAATAACTCCTGGGGAGAATGCAAAAGTATACCTCTGGTATACTCATGCTAGAAGATGTTCCTTGCAGTTCACTCATCAGCTCTGCACGCAATAGATGTAAGCAAGATTGACTAGGAGGATAAAGAACTTCCATGTAAGCGTAGCTGAGTCCTCGTGATTCTGGGCCCTCTCTCCTGCCCGGGAAACCAGCCGAGTCAGGTGAGATGTAAGCAGGGGTGGTCTGCGCGTCCCTCAACAGCTTTGCTGATTGTTCTGCATTGTTTTCCTGCAGCTTCCATGGGCATCAGCGTTGGGGAGGGGAGGCAGAGAGAAACCAGACCCACGTGAAGATTGCAGTAAAGCTGAACTAAAATGTGGCATTAATAGTAGATGAGAAGTGGACTCTGGAGTCAAGGGTAACAAGAAATTCAGTCAACAGGTTTAGTGTTGAACACAGAAATTTGATTTGAAGAACTCTGGAAATACTACTGGATGGTGACATCCTATAGGGTAGGATATGATGCAGCAGGCCACGTGTGGGAAACTTAAAAGCACATCTGCCTTAGGCCAAATATTGAAATTTTCCCAAGACATCTTTAACTCTAGGATCTACCCTTTGGACTTCTTCTCCAGTGCCTTCCGCCCAATGGTGGCTACCTGCGACAGTCTTCTTACTCCTCATATCTTTTTTTTTTTTTTTTACTTGCCTGTCATTTACGTGCATTCCTCAAGAGCAGACTATGCTAATTAAGATATTAGTAACCTAATCTATGTTCCCGGGGAAAAGTTAGAACTTATGTTCCCACTAGAGAGCATACTCAT